GGTTATGAGATTTACTTAAATGCGAAGTTGACTTCGGCTTCGACTTCGGTGCCGAAGTTAAAATAGAAATTTGGCTTTCAGCTAAATTCGGTAACAGTTTCAAAATTTCATTTAACTTTCAGTTAACTTTTTTTCAGTTTATAAAGAAGAAGAGATATAAAATATACTGCATGTTTTATGTATATTAACCAGTTCGTGCGCGCAGAGGCCTTGTTCGTCAAAATTGAAAAGTGTTTCGGAATTAAAGAGTTAGGAGTAGGTTGTAACCAATGTAAGAAGTAGCTTCTCGACTAAAGTGGCCCTCTTGGCCTCAGGAACATAAATTCAGTAAAGAAAGAAAGAAAAAAAGTGTTAGAAATAAATTTGAATCAATAATCGAAAAGTTTTATTTAGGCACAAAGTCTATTCATCGCTTATAAATTCTTTTTTATCGCTTTCAAAAAATCCTAATTGTAAAAAACAGTTGAATATTTAACCTAAAATTCCTAACAATCTTTTTTCAAATTCGTCTTTCAGTTATATTCGGGATGCATATACGGCCTAAATTCTTTTAGTTAAATTCGGTGCACGCATATGATCTAAATTCGTCTTTCATTTAAATTCGAGTCTTAAAAAGACGACTTTGCCGGTCATTAACATCAATTCCATTAGGAATAAGTTTGAACAACTTAAGGAATTAGTTCGAGGCAAAGTTATTATATTAATAACTGAAACTAAGATTCTTTCGCTTTAAACCAGTTTCAAGGTGTCTGCCAACCCTTCAGGTTAAACCGAGCAAAAAACGGTGGGGGTTGAATGCTGTATATAAGAATAGATATTCCATCGCAAACGTTGGTTAAATTAAGTGACGATGATAGCCTTAAATGTTTCTTTGTCGAAATAAATCTTCGAAGAAAAAAATGGCTAGTCGCATGTTGCTGTAAACTTCGAAACTTTTTCTAAAAAATATAAAACATTTTCTAAAAAATATTGAAAATAATTTAGACTTTTCAAGAAAATATGAACATTTTATTATAATGGGGGACTTTAACGCCAAAATAAGCAACAAGTATATAGAAGAACTTTTTTGTTAAAAGTTAAAATCGCTCATAAAAGAACCTTATTCTAACTAATAACTCAAGTTTCTGCCACTCCACCGCAATAGATTATCTGATTTCCATAAGTTAATATTAATGAAATTTTCCAAAATAACTTATAAAGATAGTTACTTGAATAAAAATTTTGATAGTAAAGCAACTAGATGTCACCTAATTAAAGAAATAAAGGTAAAAACCTTTTGAGCAATGGTTTAAATACTTTTGAAAACAACGTATTAACACGTGCCTTAAAAAAAAAGACAGAAAAGAAAAAAATCAAGGACCTTTCATTACTAAAGAATTAAATAAAGCAATTATGACCAGGTTTCGACTATTAAATCGTTACAAAGTGAAACATCTTATGCTTCTAAAATTGCATATAATCGTCGAATACTCTTTTGGGTGAGCCTATTAACAAAAATTATATAAAAACTCTCCGTCTTATACATTTAAAACAAAAAAAAATCGACGTAGTAAAAAAAATATATGCAATATTTCAAAAAAATTTCAAAGATAAAACAAAAATCTGACATACCAACTAAAATTATAAAACATTTTTATACCACTTTTGTTTACTATGACTGTAACAACGCCGTTTGACTGTAACAACGCCGTTTGACTGTAGCAACGCCGTTTGACTGTAACAACGTCGTTTGACTGTAACAACGTCGTTTGACTGTAACAACGTCATTTGAGGTATATCAACACCTATATATAACAAGTGTATGAGGATATCAACACCTATTTTGAAAACAAATTTTCTTACACTAATACGATTTTTATATAATCCATGCGCTCAACAATACTTTATAACTATGACTGACTGAGAAATGGAGATAACGCTTAGCACGGATAACGAATATAAAAAAAATTCTTATTGACAACGAGCTATTTTTCTAATTTTTAGCAATTAAATATGCATTTAGCCGTTTATTAAAAAGAAATTATAATAAAAGTAACTTCTAGTACACGATAAAATGTTTCAAATTAAATATAAAACCTCTAAAAACGAATAAAATGTAATTACAGCAATAGCTTTTTTAGTGTGTTTCGTTTATCGTTTTCAAATTGTTTTTAAAAAAATTTTGAGCGTAGAAATTTTTAAATTTTAACTTTTTCAGATAGATGAACTGTTGATATTTCTTAGAATGTTTACTGATATAAGTATTCAATTTTTTTTCAAGATTAAAAGATATTTTTTTTAACATTAACTTTTAGCAAGCTGTTGCTAGGCTACCCTATAATCACAATACATAATTACATTGATGTGAGTATATATATATATATATATATATATATATATATATATATATATATATATATATATATATATATATATATATATATATATATATATATATATATATATATACATATATATTTATACATATATATTTATAAATTTCAATACGTATGTATGTTAGACCCATGAAAGTCGGCCTAACATACAATTTTTAATATATTTACTTTTTGTTTTTGTTAAAAACATTTCATATTTTAATACATTCGAATTTTAAAAGTTTTTTTCCATTTCTAACTATTTATTGCTAAAATAATTAATAAAATACCTTATAATATTTTTTTAGTATTTAAATGAGCAAAGTTTGATCAAATCGAGGGGGCTGTTAATTTTATATGGTCATAACTTTTAGGCACAATAATACAAATAAATTAAATTGAAAAACTGAAGGTTTATTTAGTATTAGATAGAGAAACTAAGCATTTTATCAAGTCATTGTCATCATGTTTTGGCAGAGGCAGTTAGCTTGTAGGGGAACTTTTGTTAACAATTCATGAATATTTTTTAGATAAAAAAGAACATTTTGGGGCTTTGCTTACAGAACTTTCTGAAGCTTTCGCATGCTTTGCTAATTTTTTAATCAAATGCATACAGTATGGCTTCATTAAAAACGCATTAAAGCTCATTCAAAATTCATGGTATGAAAGCTTATCCAGATAAATATTGTATTATTACTAGTAAAACAATCTCTCTCAAAGTTGACATTTGTGATAAGAAAAAAGTCTCATCTGACCATGAAAGATTACTTGGTATAATGTTTAATAATAAACTTTCCTTTGATAAACATGTTAATAATTTATTTATATTAGCAAGTCAAAAAGTTAATGCGCTTTCCAGACTCGCTTTATTTATGCTTATGAATCAAAGAAAACTTATACTTAGCTTATATTACATTTTTCTAATTTTGTCAGCTAGCTTTGTTATTTCATAGTAGAAAACTGAACAATCGTAAACAGAATACTTGAAAGTGTCCTTAGAATTGTATATCAAGACTCTCAATCTCCTTTTGAAGAGCTACTTACACTATACAACGCAAGAATTTACAAGTGTTGGTTACTGAAATTTGAAATCGATGGAAGATTTTTCATTTTTGTAATACTAGTCATGGAGGCATATAACAATAAACAGACTGTGAAATACGGTCTAGAGTCCCTTTCGTATTTGCGATAATCAATTTGGAACTTGGAACCAATGAGTTGCAAACCAAGAATAACCTCTGAAATAATTTAAATTAAAAACCAAAGATTGGATTCCAAAACAGTCTCTGCAAATTAGGCATGACCTATGTCAAAGACAATGGGTTTATAAAGCCGCATGAAACAAACCAGTTTATGCAAACTTTCAATAACTCGTAATTTTAAATTTTGATAGTTGCTATTGATTTATTAAGTATTTTCTTGAACTTTTTAAAATAATTTTTGAGTTGACTTTAATTAGCCAAATATAGAGCTAATTAATTTGTATGTAAAAGTGTTAACTATAAATAAATTGCAAATAGTAATAATAAATAATCCTTTGCTTTGAAGTATACTCAATAAAAAATTTATAACAAAAAAAATTCAAATGCACATTAATTAAAAAATTCAAAACTCGATTGAAAGTTGAATTTGATAATTTTTATGCTACTGCCTTGAACTATCACAAGAAGTGATTTCAGATAGTTCGGATTGTCCAGCTACTACTAGTTGGCTACTTTTTTACGGTTGAATATAAAGAACGACTGGTTGAAAATCAAGAGGTTCGAAAGGCTGTTAAATTTTTGGCTTTAGATATCGCTTTATAAGATTTATTATGAAACAAGTTTACTGAACAAATTCTTGAAATCTGTTTATGAAGACATTATTGCCTTATCAGTGGACTACTTTGCTGAAATTTTCAAATTTTGTTGCATTAAAACGATTAGTGTTCATCCTTTTTGTCAGACCAACATCAAATGAAGCAGTGGAGCGCATATTTTCTTTGTGTAAGGAGTACGGATGATAGAAGTAAACTTAAAGTTGAAACTATTAAAGGCTTACTGCAAGTAAAACTACTCCTTCAACTGCAGAAAAATATATCAGTATTTGTTGAAAAATGATGATTTATTTCGTTAAATATTGGCGAACAGTAAATACATTACTTGATGAAATGTTTTATAAAGCAAAAATCAGACAATAAAATATGATCCGTATTTTCTCTTTTTTGTGTGAGAAAATTTCCTTATTTCTTCAGAAAAATATATAGCAATTCTATTTATAATTATTAAACTATTAAACGCGTCAATATCTATAAAGTAAGCACTTCAGTAAGTCAATACCTAATCTTGGTATTTGTAATAGACAAAACATAGATTTTTTAAGTTTCGCTTCGACAATTTATTGAATACTTTGTTAGATATAATTTTTTTATTCTCATCGAACTCAGAGAGGTTTACATCTATTTTTAGAATTTCGGCAAAATATTTGTTAATTTGTCGCGTGTTTATTTAAAAATTTTAAAAACTAACAATATTGTATTAAAATTTACAGATACTAAAATATACCTATGCAAAATTGACTTGAAAATTTTGCGTACAGATGTCATAAACATATTACAAAATTCATTCTAAAGGATGATAATTTATATATAAAAAAAACTTTCTGGTATTAAAAATCTCAACATTAAATTATTCAACACAAGTCTGTTAAAAACTTTAAATGCTCATCTTTCTCGCCTTAATTATAAATTATAAATTGCGTATAATTAAATGACGAGAAAGACTGGAAATTCAAGGAAATTTAATATCTCATATTATGCTAAATAAAAAAAAATTTTCTATCTCTTCCCGAGTCGATCAAAAACGCTTCCCGATTCAACAGAATGTATCAATTTAGTTGGAGCAACGGTCAAAGATTTTTTTAAAACACGACTTGACGAAGCCTCGACAGAGGCCGATGTCGAAAAATCATTGTTCGTTGAACCGAGGCGATTGAAAACAGCGGATTTATTTGTTGTAGGTTGCTGAGCCTAAAAGGAAAATAACTCTATGCTCATTTAAAATTTACGATCACAAGACCAAAATCTGAAAACTATTCAGTAATTTTACCTGTACTAAAATAGGCGGTTTTTCAAGACGATCAAATATTGAAGTTGATTGCTTTTTGCGGTCCAAAGTCTTTCCTTGAGCTAGTATAAAACAAATATATAAAAGGCAACAACGCAATTGGGTAAATCATTTAAAAATACTTCTAACGGCACTTTTTTCCTTTGAATGTGTGAGAAGAGTGGGAGAGGCAGAGAGGAGGAAAGAGAACTAACGATGCTTGATTTACAAGCCAGGTACGAAAAGTGTTATTGACACCAAAAAGATCGCGTAAAATAGCTTACCTGGAATAAGTGTCACTATTTTCTGTGCAGACTCTGTTACTTTTTTAGACTCTGTTACTCTGTTCTCTGTTACTTTTTTAGATTCTTTAGGGTATTTTGAAGTTATTTTTGAAGGAAGCTGAATTGTAAAAACTGTGCCTTTAGTCTTTTGTTTTAATGTTGCTGCTTCTTCGAGTCTTTTTTTCTCATTTTCTTCTTCTTCCTCCTTTTTCTTTTTTGTGCTTGATTCATATTCAGAGAATCTATCTGACAATGTTTTTCTACTGGTTTTTGATTTAGTAATCGAGCTGACTTTAGAAGAACTTTCTTGCTTGGAAGCTAAATGTTGACAACACTTTTACTACTGTTCATTTAAAGAATTTTTTAATTGTTATATAATAGTTGTTTAATTTAAAAAATATTTAAATTAAATAATTATCATATAAAAATTGCATAATCTAAATAACAATTAAATAAAACACAAACAACATTTACATAAAATATAAATAAGTTACATAAAATATAAATATCAATATGAAATATAAAAATCTTTTAAAAACACTTACAAACTCTCTCCTTAACGTCAACAACATCGTTTGATCTCTGATTTGCTGATGATACAGAACTAACCAAAGAGGAAGATGAAACATTTGGGATACTCGTGGTACTGTTTGCTACTAAACTTGCATCTTTTTTTTTGGGAACTAATTTTGTTTTGATAGCAACTTCTGGAGAAGGTGAATGGTATCGAGACATCTAAATAACAAATAGCAAAGCTTAACAAAATATATCATATTAATATTAAACAGTAAAGCTTAGCAAGATGCCATAATAATAAACAGTAAAACTTGAAGAGATATCTAAATAAGACTTAGGAGAAATAAATTTAAATAAATTTTTTTTATTGAAAAATCGCCCAAATATTATATTAGCAGATGGAAAATAGCCCTGAAACATATTGTCCAAGTGCAAGTCCAGCTCCTTTTCCACCTCAACCCTAAAAAAGTTTTTCAGAACTTAACCTTTTTTAAAAATTTGGTTTAAATACCTGATGAACATGATTTATAAATAAAACAAAATTTATACTCTTTTCATATGTACGTATATACATACATGTAGTCAAGGTTTGGGATTTCAATTTAGGTGTGAGTTATAAAATGTTACTTTTATTACGTTATCCTCTTTATTTGTTTTAATCTCGTACTTTCTTTTCTTTTCTATTCTAATTTCTAATCTATTTTCTTTTTATTCTAATTCTTACATTAATTTAATAATTTTTTTACATTATATCTCTTATTACTATTTTCTAGATATATATTTATTATTATTTGAAAAATTATTTTCAGCAGTCAAAAACTTTTATTTTTCTTTTGTTTTATTTTCAGAGTTTAATTTTCTTGTTTTCTGATTTTTTAACTCTTCCTCAGTCAGTTTCTTAAGTTTCTAATTTTAATTTTAATTATAATTTCTAATAAATTATAAATCATTATAAAAACTATTATTCAATTAAATATGAAATAAACCATTTCTTTTCTGTTAATGTATGAAATCTTAATTCACATAAAAAAATAAATTAAAATATGTTGAAATTCTTTAGTAAATTATATAGGCAACCCTCGGAATTAGGAATAATGAGTTTGGCAAATTATTGCCGACCTCAATCTTTTAAAGGTTGGCATCAGGCCGGCAAAAATTATTTAATACAAAGGTCTTACCATAAAACATAGAAACGAAGTCGGCAATTTTTTGCCGACCTCAAACACATTCAGGTCGCCAGTTAGGTCAGCATTGCCAATCTGCTTAATCAGTTTTAAAATTTAAACGTTTCTAGATTACCTTTAACTAAAATAACTTTTCTCACCTGCCTATTAAACTAAAGGGAGAGGAGTTCTTGATGGAAGGGTTTAAATTTTATTATAACTATAAATTTAAAAAAACAACAGGAGAAATGTCTTGCAAATGTCATCTGTGTTAGAGATACTTATGTTATTAACATGTTTATGTAATCAATAAATCAAATCTGTGCATCTGATATACTAAAGATATACTAAAGAGACAATTTTCTTTCTTAAAATAAGATGTCAGATTCAAACTTTTTTTTTCTTTTAAATAAATAAACCAAGTTAATTTATAAGCGGAAAAGACAAATATATGTGTCAGGCTTGAGCAGGAATGGCGTGCAATCGAGTGCTATTGCTGACCAGGCAAATGATTTTTTTTTACAATTTGACCACAATTGTTTATATGTTTTGATAATTTAAACATTTCAGAAATGCAATTCCTTATGAAAAAAAAAAAATAAAAGCACTAAAATAAAATAAAAAAATAAAATCTAAAACTTGAAGTGAAACTTTTTGTTACTTTTTTAATTGCGTTTGAAATATATATTATTAAAACCTATCTTTTAAAAATTTGTATTAGTTAGGCTAAACGCTTTTAAATTAAATAACAAAATACTACTAATTGTTTTGTTTATTAAATGAACAAATGTTATCAAATTTATTAAAAAGTGTTTTATAAAATATTTTTAAATTTTATAAACATTTTTTAAACAAAAAAGTTGCAAAAAAAAAAAAAATGTTTAAAAAAATAATATGGTCTTTTTAAAATCTAATTTTTTATAATTTCATGCTCTAATTAGTTAAGTTAGAGTTTTAATTAGTCAAGTTAAAAAAAGTTTAAATCATCATAAAAAGTACATGCCTACAAAAAAAAAATCTTTATATACATGTTTTATTAATTTACAAAAAATGAGTTTATTTAAACAATCATTATAATTAATTTTATGTTTTTATTTAAAGCCTTGGCATAAAATAAAAACTTTAGAAAAAATCAACAATTAAAAATTATTCATAACGTAACACTTTTATTTATAGCATTTAAATTGTTAAAACATCAGAGTATGATCGCACGGCATTCCTGTCCACGCCTCTCTCTATTTTTATATATCTATATATATATATATATATATATATATACATATATATATATATATATATATATATATATATATATATATATATATATATATATACATACATATATATATATATATATATATATATATATATATATATATATATATATATATATATATATATATATATATATATATATATATATATATATATATATATATATATATACATACATATATATATATATATATATATATATATATATATATATATATATATATATATATATATATATATATATATATATATATATATATATATATATATATATATATATAAATAGAGAGAGGCTTGGACAGGAATGGCGTGCGATCGCACTCTGATGTTTTAACAATTTAAATGCTATAAATAAAAGTGTTACGTTATGAATAACTTTTAATTGTTGATTTTTTCTAAAGTTTTTATTTTATGCCAAGGCTTTAAATAAAAACATAAAATTAATTATAATGATTGTTTAAATAAACTCATTTTTTGATATTATATATATATATATATATATATATATATATATATATATATATATATATATATATATATATATATATATATATATATATTTGGATATCTTTGTAGTAAACCCAAAAATTAGATTTTAAAATAAATAATTTTTCTATCGTTTACTAAAAAACATTGAAGGAAAGAGACCATAAAAAGAATAAGTATCAGCTTTAATATTGTCTCTTTTCATTTTTATTTTGAGAATTCCAGAAGCAACTTGCTCACTGGGTACATTTCCGAGACCTTCAGAGAACATAATTAGATTTTTTACAGCTTCACTTTTACAGCAAAAGTGAGAAATTCCTTTGCCTAAATAGAAATTCAAAGTAGGAAAAGTTCTGATATTATAATATTTGTAAAACATAAAAATAATAAACTAATATTTAATAAGTCTATTATAGACTATGCATTGACTAGCATAGACTCTATGCTAATTTAATTTTTTTTTTTTTAACAATAATTGAAGATTTATTAACTAAAATATTACCTAAGTTATATCTTAAATTTCTTTAAAGAAATCATATCTATTGTAGAAAAGCAAGAAGGACATATCTTTTTAATAGTTTTATCAACAATATCTTGATTAATTTTTATGATCTGTTCAGATATTTCACAAATATCAGATGATCATCTGAGTTTTTGATTTTCTTAATCCAATCGTTTAATTTGAATACATGTTCAATACATGTTCAATTGTTCAATACATATAAATTTGTTTTGCAAGAATTACAAATGTTTTTTGGACACCACTCTTTTTCTACATCATATTCTCTCCAAAATAAATTTTGAATATGAAGTTGTACTGTGGGAGTTACTTTTATGAGTTTATGTGACCCTTTTCCAAAGGAAATAAAGCAACATGCACAAATTAGACATTTTTCGTCAGCCACTTTGACAAAAAATATAAGTTTTATATGATTGCTTTTAACCGTAATAATAATTATTTTCATCTTTATTGCAACATTTTGTACCAATTTAAATAGATGATGTAATCATAAAATGATGCAATTTGTTTTAGACATTTTAATCAATTAAATCTAAAATTTCTGTTTGAAAGTTAGTTAAGATTTTAAAAATTATTTTAAAATACTTTATTTAACCCGATAATAGTAAATAAACAAAAAAATTTAGAGTAAACGAAAATTTACCCTGTAGGTCTCAGGAGAGCAAAGTGGTATAGAAAAAGTCAGTGTGTGACTTATCATGACCTGTACTTTTTGGGTCCAGACATCTAGTTATATAATAACTATTATATAAAAAAATTTATATAATAATTATAATTATAAATGCAGACAAACTAATTTTATTTTTTTTTTTTAAAAAATTAAATATAATTTAAAAAAGAATTTTAACAAAAATAAAATATTTCAAACCTCTGTTTGTTTTGATCTAGCATAACGTAGAATGGCAATAGAATCACCAACAGCTTTAATTCCAAGGTCACGAAGTACATCCTACATAAAATATATATTAAAGTTATAGTTAAAATAATGTAAAAATGTTTGGTGTAATTGGTGATTTGGTGTGATTGTAAAGATTTTTTTATAAATATTTAAATCATATAGAACAATTATCTTAAAAGTTTATTGTTCTATTGCACGCAACTTCCATTAAAACTACTACTACAGTTTTATATTCAGGATTTTTATACTCAAGATAAAAAAATATATCCTTTATTTATAACCAAACATAAAAAAAAAGAAAAGAAACAATTCATGAGACATTAAAAAAGACTTAAATATTAATGCCTAACAGAGTATTAGTTTACTTTATATATTATTATAATATATATATTTTTTATGTATAATTTTTTTATTGTTATAAACTATAGCAACTTTTATACTTTAATTTAAAACACATAAAAATTAGTGTTATTATTTGCATTTGATAGTAAATAATTTCAAGTAAATAGAAGTACTTAGATCACTGCTATGTATCCAACCAAATGTTCTAAACATTTTAAATATTAATTTTGTTGCTATTTAAACTTAAAGTCACTGGCCTTGTTAAATTTTGAAGTTGGCGAATAATTGGAGTTTGATACTGACTGATGTTAGCAGATGATATAGGTTGGAATGAGAATGGTAAAGCAGGCTTGGTTAAAGATGATGAAGCAGGCTCCAATAAAGATGATGAAGCAGACTAAGATGGTACTTGAAATATTTGAGCAACTTGTAACTTTGATTAATTAACTTTGCTAATACAATTGGAAATCAGTGTTTTAAAACCCAGCAATTATATGTGTTTGTGTAAATGCATCACCAAAGCTAAAAAGTTTTGCTTGTAGTTCAATGAAACTTTCTGTAATTTGCGCCAAACTCATTTAACACGACAATATACACCTAGGTCTAATGGTTAAACTATATGGTACAAATAAGCCAGTAAACATATCAGCCTGATGTTATTATCAATGCAAATAAAAGCGACATTGTAAGTAACATGTGTGACATGTCCATCCAAGACTAAAATATGATTACTTTTAATCAAAAAAATTAATTGATTAGTTGATTAAACTATTCAATTTAATTAGACCAAACTAATTACCAGGAAATAATTTGATTGTCAGTATGAATATTTTAATGAGCCATTGAATAAATTATTTCTCTTCAACTGACTTGATTCCATTGACATCCAGCTTGACTTGAATGTTGTAAATATGGTGTTTCCCTACACACCAGTCCTTGTACAGACAAGATATTGATTTTTGAACTACATATGGTGACAGAATGGTACCGGTAGGATTGACCCAATTACCAACTGTGTAATTAATTTTATTGTAGTTACTAACCAATTTTAAAGGGCGTTTAGCACCAAGCCTGCAAATTATATGCTGTTTACTTTGATCACCTAAAAAATCCAATTTCTTCAAAATTCCACAAATTGCATAAAGTGCTATTGTTGATATTTGTTATAAGAAATTGTTTTTGAAGTGTATTGAAATAATTTATTATTTTATCCTTGGTACAACAAGTAGCTCTGAGAGATGAAATACTGCCTGCTATTCTGATGCTTAATTTATGACTCCATCATTTAGTGAAACCTTAATACCATTCTCACCCAAGTATACGATTTGGTGGAAACAGATGACTTTGATTTGTAGATACCAAATAACCCCCAACTACTGCGATGACATCTGCAAACCTTCTGCCAAATTCCCAATTGGCTAAACTAATAAGTACTGAAACAAGAACAAATTTTAATGCTGTAATTAGCATGGCAGTTGTACCTCTACCATGGATTGGACTTTGTTGTGCACAAGTTTGTGAAGAGTTGCCTTTGGTATGCTGTATGCCTCTGAAGCTTTACTGAGTGATATTTTGCCTTTTTTGATTTGTTATACTGCAAGCTGCAATTGCTCTTCAGTGTAAGTTGTTTGCGTTTTACAAATGTAAGTATGAGTCATTTTTATTTTAAAAACTTTCAGATAGCAAAGAATAAAATATTTATTTACATTTTAATTAATGATAACCATTAATTAAATTAGCCATGTTCATCCTATTGCATTAGTGTGAATTAGCATGTTTAATCTTCCCCTGAAACATCATCTCGCTCATATAGTTTTTTGTTCATAATGTTTTATAAACAAAAAACCATACTCTGAAACCATATATCTGAAAGTTTTTATTTATTCCTTCTTGTCGGTTTCAAGTCAAGCCTCATTCTAATCCATGGTTTTCTCATTCTTGCGTGGCTGCTATATCCAATCGTAATCATTTTTCATCTTTTTCAAAAGAAAACTCTCTTGAGAACAAACGGCTATTTATTATTGCAAGAAATCGATGTAAAAAGGTGCTTTCTGATGCTAAACTCCATTATTCTCAGTTCACTAAATCTCGCATCTTATCACAGAAGTTAGGCTCTAAAGACTTTTGGAAAATCTTCAACAGCATTATTAACAAGGGTAGATCTAACATTCCATCTCTCATTCATGGGACTGATCTTATTACCTCTCCCAAGGATAAGGCAGAACTATTTGCAAAGAACTTTTCTTTTAATTCCACTCTTGAATCTTTGAAAAAAAAGTCAATCGGGTTGCCCCTTTGTTAGACATTCAAATCACTCCAGCTTCTGTTGCTAAAGTCATATCATAATTAAACTCATCTACAGCTTGTGGTCCAGACAACATTCCTGTCACAGTCTTGCAGAATTGTTCTCCAGAACTTTCTTCAATTCTCTTTAAACTATTTAACAAGTGTTTGACTGAGTCTTGTTTTCCTGCTTGTTGGAAAATGGCATCTGTGGTTCCAATATTCAAAAACTCTGGAGAAAATTCTGACCCCTCCAATTATCGTCCGATCAGTCTTCTTTCTGTTATTAGCAAGGTCTTTGAGTCTTTGATCAACAAACTTACATCTCATCTTGAGTCAAATAAACTACTGTCAGACAATCAATACGGTTTTCGATCCTCTCGCTCTACGGCCGACTTGCTAACTGCTGTAACTGAAAGATTTTATAGTGCATTAGATGGAAGTGGTGAGGCTAGGGCTATTGCTCTCGACATATCTAAAGCTTTCGAAAAAGTTTGGCATGCTGGTTTTCTCCATAAGCTTGCTTCATATGGTGTTTCTGAGAAAGTTTGTGAAATTATCAAATCATTTCTTTCTAACCGGTTTATTAAAGTCATCCTTGAAAGCCAACACTCTTCTTTATTTCCAGTAACTTCTGGGGTTCCCCAAGGTTCCATCCTGGGCCCTGTTTTGTTTCTTATCTACATAAACAATCTTCCTGACAACCTTTCATCTAAAGTAGCTCTTTTTGCTGATGACTCAACTTTATACTCCTGTCTTGACAAAAAGTCTTCTCTTTTCGATCGCCTAGAACAAGCAGCTGATCTTGAATCCGATCTCACTTCAATAATAGATTGGGGTTCACAGTGGCTTGTGAATTTTAATTCTAACAAAACCCAGTTGTTTACTGCAAACAACTACCGTAATATGGTCAACATTCCTATATTAATGAATGGCAATCCTCTTACTGAGTCCTCCTCTTTACGTCTTCTTGGATTATCGCTTACTACTGACCTTTCATGGAAACCATATATACAATTGATTGCTAAATTAGCTTCTGCTAAGGTTGCTTCTCTTTATCATGCTCGCCATTTCCTTACTTCTGATTCCATTCTCTACCTCTACAAATCTCTTATTTGTCCCTGTATGGAATACTGTTGTCATATTTGGGCTGGTTCTTCTAACAATTCACTTTCTCTTCTTGACAAGGTCCAAAAACGCATTGTAAATGCTGTTGGACCTGGACTATCTGCTAAGCTTGAACTTCTTTCCCATCGTCGTAAAGTTGCATCTCTTTCTCTTTTCTACAAATACTATCATGGTCACTGCTCAAAGGAGTTATCATCTCTAATTCCGTCAACTAAAATTCATTGTTGTTTTACTCATCATTTGTTTACTGTATCTGTCCCTGCATGCTCTAAAAACTTTTATTCATCTAGTTTTTTTCCCTGCACTTAAATCCTTTGGAACTCTTTCCGATCTTCATGTTTTCCTGACTCATACAACCTTCAACTTTTCAAGTCTTCTGTCAACCGTTTCCTTGCTCTATAACTCTGTTCTTTTTTTTCCTAGTAACTCCCAACTTAATAGTGGTTGCTTGCAGCCTTGTTGGGAGTGAATGCAAATTAAAAAAAAATATATATGAGCAAGATGAATGAAAAAAACTTCTCCTGAAGTAGTAAGATAAACACAGAATGTATAATAATTTTATGATGCAGTATAATAGTTTTATGGTGTAGTAAGTTACTACACCATATAACATACTGTTACTATGGTGTAGTAACTTTATAATATAGTAATACAAGATTGATATTATTAGTCGATCTAGTATAATTAATCAATAAACTTTTATTAATAATAAAAATAATATAATTATTTTTTCAACTTTAAAATATTAATGACACCACTAATATTTTACATGTTTTATATATATGTAAAAAAAAAATTAGGTTTTGAACAAGTCTAATACCCTATAATACACACACACACATATATATATATATATATATATATATATATATATATATATATATATATATATATATATATATATATATATATGTATATATATATATATATATATATATATATATATATATATATATATATATATATATATATATACATACCTATATTTTATTGTGTTATTATTGAAGCCAAAGTCATTAAAAGATAGGTTATCCTTGCAAGCACTAAGTGATTGTTGGTGTTCAAAATAAATTTTAATTAAGCTATTCAATAGTAAAACAGCAAAAATACTGTATTTCGGGATGTAGTTTAATTCAGCAAAACTTATCACTTAGGCAGCAAGCTTAACACTCCTTAATAAATATGGTTTCAACTTTATGCTCAAAAGTAATATTAGGTAGAAACAAAAGCCACATTCTCTGTCTTCATAGAATATATAAGCAATATGGTTCCACAGTGTAAACATATCATCATTCTAC